GTTGTAGTGTGTGTGTATTATATATATATATATATATATATATATATATATATATATATATACGATATATTTTCTTGCACAACAGTTCAGAATTAAACATGTAACTTAATTTTACATTGCCATACCTGAAAATTTTTATTACATCAAATGAAGTGTAGTTCAAATGTCTTTAAAAAAAACAAAACAAGTTAAAAATAGGATTAATGATTAAAGTTCTACAAGTCACCCAGCACTACTCATCACATTAAAAAGTTAATTATTTTAACAAAACTGTATTAAAATTTTAGTCGTTTTTGAGATAAAAAAAAAAAAACATTTTCACAAACATCTGTACACATACATAAGAATTATGTAAAATTTATAAACCAATCTGAAAATCAGCCATTTACCAACTCTTGGTAAATGCTAGCCATGTTCTTAATGGTATTTTTAATTTAACAACATGCACCCTTTTTATCATACAATTAGAGAAAGAGATTGATTTTTGAAAAAAACTATGGCAATTTAGACTGCTAAAAACAATTGAGCAATTTTTCATTTTTTTTTACACATTTAGGATGGCCACAACATGATGTTAAGCATGTTCCACAATTCCCCTCCTAATTCTAAGTTAGGGATGAATATGCCCAAACTTTCAGTGTCTCTGATATAGCTATTTAATGCATGATGTGTCAGATACAACTAGTGGAAAATTCCAGTATTTAAGTGTATCTATTTATTCCACAATTAACACTGGAACTTTCTGTAAAGTAGCTATTGTCTAGACAAATTCCCAAAAAGAAATAATATACATGTACACACACATACATTTTTCAACTAACATTTTATCAAAAGATTGCATAACTATAATACATGTAGTAGTTTGAATAAATAAAGCCCCAAAAAGAAATAATTGACATGCACAGTAAAGGACTGTGTACACATTGAGAAAACATTTTACATAACAAGAAGAATTAGGAAGCAATCAGAATGTCACAAAAGTTAAACCAGAGTTATGAGAGGAAAAAAATTCTTAAACTAAGTGCAGCATAAATGCACATTTAATATTGTCTAAAATAACATTAATGTATTTTATTCATGATAGTTGTATAATTATTAATGTAGTGGAAAACAACAATACAGTACCTTTCACCTTTGTAGCCTATTAATTCTGCTTGAAGTAACTCCACTTGGACTAGCCTATCTATTGTTATACCTGAATTATCTAACTGATGTTGGGTAGTTCTGTTGAAGAAAAAGGTTTACATAAAATATAAGTATAAGTAAGTACCTACCTACTACTTGTAGCAGCACAATTATTAGCTTGACCAATATAACACTAGTCTTGTATGGTTATTCTCTTGATGACATTATAAACACAAGTTATCTATATGAAAGCAAAATATATTAACACTAGAGTTGGTATTTAAAAAAACAACAATATACACACACACAACTATATAGCCAATAACAAATTTAATGTTTTAAGATACATTTTTTAGTTTATTGGTGAATAAATTATAAACTGTTCAATCTTGTTTCCTTAATGTCTCTGACACAAACGTTTTTAACTGAAATAAAAATATTGAAGGTAATAAGCTGTACTTGGTTATTTTTTAATAGGTGAAAATGGGGACAGTTAAGTTCTAGACTGCGTAAGCTAACCGAGAACTTATAATTGTAGGATACAAATAATAAATACCTTATTCTCCTTTAGTTTTTCAAGTTCTTATTTTAAACATATTAAGTCCAGTTGAGGTCGTGTGTTAAATTTAGCTTCAAGCATTACTTTTTATAACAGTCAACAAATGTATCTGCTTTTTCATGGAATAGTTGTATTGTATCCTAATTTATCTTGTGTATAGGGGATTGCTTTACAACTGTGACATGGAGCATAGATACTTCCACATTATTGGGATCCAATTTTATGATTGGTCAGCTGCAGAGGAAATAAGATTTGTGAACGCAGGTTTGGAATTTTGAGGGAAGTTCCTTTCTGTCTTCAGAAAGAGCAAGTTTATTTCTGTCCTGAAGAAGTCAAGACTTGCTCTTGAACATCAATGTTTTTATCTTTATTTTTTTGGCTGATCATGAGTTACCTTTACTTAATCTTTAAATACAGTTTATTTACTTTTCAACTAAACAGTCCTTTACCCTATATAATTGTCCATTCTTCCATTCCCATCAACAACGGGTTTCTTTTTGCTGGATGGACCCCTTAGACATAACTAGAAACGAGCTACAGTGGACATTACAAGTGGGATTGAAACAATTTTCAAAAGATAAGAAAAAATTGGTTGATTAATAACTAACGAAATTTGACCCCTACCTTCTGAGCTACCTAATAGAAGCATGCATTTTCCACAGTACACAGACACAAACTTTAACCCTATGCATACAGAAAGGTTAAAGTGCTCATCATGATCCTTTTACAGGGTTATATTCAAAATTTATTAAAGAGCTTTATTATCAATGTATGTCAATAAGCTTGGCATCAAAGCAGTTTAAAATGAATACTTTTGTTTTATCTAAGTTTTAATTTTATAATTTTAAAAGTGCCAATTTTAGTTGTATTTTATTCTTATATGAACTTATGAGTGTCCCAATAATTAGAAACACATACTATAAATACTGACGTACCGTGATACAAACTTGAAGCCTCAAATTCTTTTGCTTTACTGAGATAGGGGAGAAAAAAAAACCAAAATGACACATCCCTTAAATATTGTTGTCCTTAAAAAGTGTCAATAATTCTCTCTGACATTGCTGTTGGATTATTTAAATAAAGCAGCCTTTTTTAAAGAAAGTTCCTTATACAGTTGTTTTGTTTTGCCACCAGTAAGCAGACACTTTGCCTCAGTTTCATTTTGTGACTTTGTTTTCCTGACCCAGGCAACTAAAATAATATAACCTATCTATAGCTTAATTATAAAGCCAGTTAAATTACAGTAGTTTTAGGACATTATATCTAGAGCTTGATATACCTGTTGTGTTTTAAAATGCATATTTGAAATGAACATTCATGGTTTTTGTGGACAAGTAGCATAGTATGAAAACACAACTGATGCTAATGAAGTATGGACTTCAGCAGAAATTACTGAAATATGCTTTAACTCTAGTGCAAGTCCAAAATTCTTGTTATTCAACAAAAGTGACCAGAATGTAAGAATTATAGACATCTTAAGTTAGATAACAAAGAGTAAATAAAAATAATTAACAAAATTTCCCAAGACCAGCTCAAGCTAAATGTATCACATAATTGTAACCTGATCAGTTTATTTAGACAAAATCTAAATGGCATTTTAAAACAATAAAATCAAAAGCAAGCAGAAGTGAAAAGTTTAGATATTGAAGCTGGTAAGATAAATAATTGTTACAATCTGACAACATTCTATAAAAAAAAAAGAAAAAGGTTTTATTAATTTTATTTAATATTTTGCAATTTGATAACACTACAGTTAGTATTATAGTAGAGAGAATAAGGTAAAATATAAAGTTTACCAAAGAAAAAACTTTTAATTTCATTGGTTTATGCAAATGAAATATGAAAACTGTAAAATGAACAGAAGTATTTATATTCTTAGCATGAAAATCACCTTTCACTCAGACTTAGTAAAGGCTTGGCAACTTCTATGACAAATCTTTAGTAAAAATACTTTATTATAAAAAATCTGATTTTTGTACAAAACAGACTTATAATATTTAGTAAAACTTGCTAGATTTTTGAAGATACATGTAATACATTCAGAATTATAGCATGTATAGTTTCATAGTAGTTACAAGGTTGGTCAAAATGACCCAGCCCATTTACAGACTTAAATCTATTAGGTTTCCAAACTTAGGAACAGTTGATGTTAGTAGATGCGATGTCTAGAATATGAACACTTTGCACAACTAGAGGTAACTGCTACAAATTTCAAGAGGTTTTTAAGCTATAACTGTTCTGAGTTGTACATAAGTTAAACACATGTAAGCATTATTCCATGGAGAATTTTCAACTCCATTTCTTACATGAGAACTATCTATAAAATTTATTCTAAATTAAATAACAGCTCTACATGATGGTGATATTAAGCCATACCTATGTAGTGAAGGTTTGTCTAATGGAGAATAAAACCTATATGATTGCATGGGCTAACTGTGACTTCCACTAAAAAAATAAATAAATAGAGTAGCGGTATTTATTTACTGCTATTCTTGATAAGTTCTACTCCACTGAATTGTTTCTTACTTTTATTTTGTGTTGGTCGTATTGGGTATGCATATCCATGAATGGTAACAAACTGATGAATAGCCACATCTGTGTACAATAAAAGTGAGCATCACTAGAACTGTTCTTCTATTGTGCTTAAATCTACTAACTAAAATTGGTGTATATAGTGTATGTATGTGCATACTTGTGTATGATAAACAATGATAAAAAAACATTAGTTACAATACACACGTGTGTGTGTTTTTCATAGCAGAGCCACATCTTCTGTGTCCACTGAGGGGAATAGAACCCCTGATTTTATCATTGTAAATCTGTAGAATTACTGCTGTCCCACCAAGGGACTCATGCACACATCAAATGAAATACCTATGAAGACTTGGAATATAAAGACAGAAAATGTTACCAAGATATACCACAGTTTTTGAGATGTTGAAAAAGTTTTGTTAGTGGTGGAGCTGTTTTTTTCTGTACAGCAAAAAGATAGCTCAAGAAAGCTGACTTTAGTGCTTACAAAGTACAGCATAGAAAAATATAAGCAAAGTTGTAGCATTTTATTTTAAAGTTAGAAATATTTTACACCCAAAAACTGAACATTATATTATGCTATCTGAGAAAGGGACAGTATTTAACATGATTTAGTGTTCTTTCCATTTTTTTCACACATGTATGAGTGAAAAAATGAAAAAGCTGATTTGGACACTCATCACTGCCATGCTCCTCAGACATACAAGAGCAGTGAAGTCGCTAATAAGCCATGCAACAGTAAAGATGACACTTTTTCTATATACAGTCTGATCCATAAAACTTTTGCTGTAGTGCTTCATTTATAGACTGCTAACTACACTGCTGCAGCTGTATTTATCTTTATAGTGAGAAAACCATTCAATCATGTCATAAAATATAGTTTACATATAAAACAATATATATATTGCCAAGATTGCAAGAAGAATGTGTGTAAGTTATTAGTTTTCAGTGCTGACTGAAAGAGGGAAACAATATTCTATAAAGATGACAAACAACTTCGAAGAAATAGTTTTATCCTATTTAATACCATGTTTCAGCTTACACCTTTTTTGAGGGTCTTAGAGTGTCACAGGTTATAAAAACAAATTTTACATTATAACAGTCTCTCGAAGAAAGTGTAAGGTGTAGCCCGAAATATAGGTAAAAAAGAAAAAATTTTTTATATGAAGTTATGTGAAAGTTTTACATTTGACTATACGTTGATAGTTTGAGAAAACTTCAACATACACTTGGAAAGTATATCACTCTATACTAAAGTCGAAACTCTTGGCATTTCACAAGATAGGTTGACTACAGCTAATGTTTTAGTGTACATAAAATTAATTTTTATGTAAATCTTTGTCAACCTACTAACTTTACATAGTATATGTGCATTTGAAGGGTTTTCTTTTTATGTTGTAATGCTTATGTTTAAAGGATTTTATTCTACTGACTTATATTCTTCTTCTCCTGAAGATGGTGTAATTATTTACACTGAAACATGTAGAGTTTCAAGTTTTTTTAACTTGTATATTTTTAATTTAACTTTACAAATAAATGTTTGTGCAAGTAAAAAACGTTGATCTTCATTTTATTTAACATCTTTGTACAAGAACTGTCAGCTTTTATGTATTTATTATAGATTCATGTATTTAAGAATTTATGATCAAGTGTGCTTTAAATTTAATCGTGTTCATCAGACAATGTAAATAGTAAAACTTATTGTAATTGATGGTTAGCCCTCAACCACCATCTAAAAAGAAAAGTTTACGACAGTCAAGTACAGGAATCTGGTGTTGTACATAAAACTCAGTCGTACACTAGTCATTAAACAATATAAACTTATTTAAGATTAGGAAACTTACATTTTTATAATCTCTTTGTTGTTTTTTCTAAATGCTTCTCTCTTAACTTTTAGCCAAATCTCAATTGCTGTATTCAGTTTGTTTATGTTCCACTTTAGACCTTTCACAACTGATGCTAAAGCCTCCTTCAAATCTCCTATCTGACAGTAACACTGAGCAAGAAGTTCAAACCTTTTAAACAGACTGTCCTGAAAGTATAACAGTAAAAACACTGACTATCATTAAACAACACACTTCATTCCTTGTTCTATATATCAACAGGACAATAACAAACAAGGTGCTGATGAAAACAGTATATACAAAGACAATGCACTGAAAAATCCTTCCACAGATTTTCTGCAACATATTGAAAAGTTTAAGAATGTTAGAAATTTATCAAACTATCTTCCATTTTACACATCAGCCAACAGAAAAGATCACAAAATTATATTGATGCTATCACAATTACTTTCTTATTACTTTAGTTTGTGTTGTAAATATTACCTAAACCATGTCTGAAAAATAAGATATAAAAAAAAGAACTTGTAAAATGATTAAATCAAACATAAAATGTCACTTATTTTAAAGTAATTGGGCAATTACTGGCCATTTCTGAGGTTTGTGTAATATAACCTTTCATATTCAGTTTTAGGCTAGCCTAAAATAAGTTGCTATAGAAAAATTTTCATTTCTAATTAACATAATATTTTTTAATAGCAAGATTATGACAAATTTACACACAATGAAACACCAAGTTTCAACAAAGAGTCATACCTGATGCACCATAGCTTATTTTCTTACGTCAAATTATCTTTTCAGAATCTTCTTCTAGACTAATGATACAGCATTAATTTTTGTAAATAATGCATGCATACACACACACACACACACACACAAGTAAAAAAAAAGCTATCAGTTCTAATGAAACGCGAATTTCATGGAAAATATATATTTAGAGAGAGAGTATAAAACATAAGGAATGGTACAAATGTATCCACATTTTTATTTTGTACTACTCAATCTAAAGCTACAGATTAATTTGAGACTAGTACTGCAACAACAGTACTGCACATCAGATTTCATATTCTAACTTGAAGTTTCCATTGCACCTCCAAAATAATATGTATTAGCTAAGTGTGACATAATGCGTATCACTTAAATAACTTACCTACTAACATTGCTATAATCTAATTCCTAATACTAAAGATATGAGATCCTTTCCATTCCCATTAAATGTTAGATATCAATAATTCAATGTTAAAGGGTTTGATTTGTTTTGGATATTTGCACAAAGCTATAATTTGTGTTAGTTATCCATAATTTTAAGAATAGAGGGTAGAGAGTTAGTTAACAGCACTCAATGATAAGTTATTCTAAGTGAACAGTGGGATTTGACTGTCATTCTTATAATGCACTTTCAGCCCCAAAGTGAGGAGTGTGATATACCACATTCTGATAGAGCATGAGATGTTTAAACAGAAGCTATTTAAAACAAAGTACAGTTCAAAGAAGTTTTAATTCATTAAAGTCCTGACAGAATTTGGACATGTGATTTGATAAAATTACCAACATCTCCAGAACAATTATTTCAATTTATTTAATGTCTCATCTTTATAACTTCTTCATTATTAGCAAAGTAGAAAACTGCTTATGAAACACAGGCAATTTTTTTTTCTGGACTAAAAATTATTCATTTAAGTTAAATACAGTTTAACTATTAGAAAAATATAAATTTTCACCAGAAACTCGTGTAGACTAACTAAAAGATGAATTGTTTAAATTTTATCAAGACTTATTTTCATGTCTAATTTTTTTGCCTTTAATAATTATTGATACATACTGTGCACGATTTCTTGACTTCAGATGTCAGGTCTGATGTTTCAACCAAGGAAGTAAGGCATTTACAACTAAAGTTGAGAAATGGTACAGCCTCTTGATAGCAGCTTTGATTGAAAAATATGATTCCGAGATTTCCAGCTTCAGTTCCTGTGTAGACACAAAGCATAAAAAAAATTTTTTTTCTAATATAATATCAAATACTGACTATGTAAAACAAACACTATAAAACTGAATAACAACAAAAGTTACACACACTTTCCTAATGATAGTTGCATAACAGCAAAAACAACTATTTTATTTCATCAGTAACAAATATAAGCATGGAATCACAGCTAATGGTGACATACATCTTTTTTAAGTATTTACCTTTACACCTGTCTTAATCCTAGGTAATATCAGTGACCTAAAAGTTATTTATATATTTTGTATACATACAGGCAAATTCCAGCTTAACACTATGTGGTAACTTAGTTCTGAATTTAATTATCAGTTATGTTCTACAGCAATGCTGATGATTCAAGTTAACTCTTCCAATATGGGGTCGGTCAATGTGATGACCTCGTAACTATTTTGTGCTTGCTGTAACTTTTAAATTAGTAAGCGAATGTTAACAAAATTTGGCAGATTATCAGTAAAAATTACACTGCTTTCATACACAAAATATCTAATTTTTTTTTATTAAATCGTAAGGTTTGTAAAGCAATGTTTTTCTCATGCCTTTTTTCTTTTCACATCTTGCCTATCTATCATGCAAAGTAATTTTCATTTTAAGATTAAAAATACTTTTATGCATCAGAAAATTTTAAAATTTCACATGCGAAATCTTTATAACGTCCAGATAGTTATCAAACATTTCTTTAGAAAAAACTATATTTTATCTGTTATTTTCAGTAATTATTCTCTGTACAGGTTCAGTAGATTTGAACAATCTCGCAACCACCATAAA